TTCACCCCTTTTCAACTAAATTCACCCAAACCAAATTTTTTTCAAACCAAATTCACCCTTTTCAAACCAAATTCACCCTCACTTTTCATCAAATTAACCACACTTATTAGGGCGGGCAACTCATCAACCAGATCACGCCATCACTGCGAGCCCCGCCCCGACGGCCACGCCTACTTGTCAGCGCGGACATAGATTCTCAAATCTTGTTTCATAACTTCTGCTTTTGCTGTTTCCCACAAACACTTTGACTGAAAACGACCGGGCATTGACACATGGCCGACTCCGCCCATTCTCTAAAGGGTTTGGCAATCTAGGCTCCGCCCTCTTGACCACGCCCACTTGCTTTTCGCGGAATTTTGATATTTTTTCAAAATTTTTGCATTTTAGGGCTGCTGCGTGAAGCCCCGCCCACTGTGAGAGGCTCCGCCCACTTTGAAGAAGCCCCGCCCACTTTTCAAAAATGGTGCAAATCGGCAGTATAGAGACTTGGCTTGCATGCTAGGTATTGCTGATCATTCGGAACAAACTTTGCCTGATTTTCTTGTTCCGAGTGACGAGACCCTAGCATGCAAGCCAAGACTCTATACTGCCGATTGCACCATTTTTGAAAAGTGGGCGGGGCTTCTTCAAAGTGGGCGGAGCCTCTCACAGTGGGCGGGGCTTCACGCAGCAGCCCTAAAATGCAAAAATTTCAAAAAATATCAAAATTCCGCGAAAAGCAAGTGGGCGTGGTCAGGGGCGGAGCCTAGATTGCCAAACCCTTTAGAGAATGGGCGGAGTCGGCCATGTGTCAATGCCCGGTCGTTTCAGTCAAAGTGTTTGTGGGAAACAGCAAAAGCAGAAGTTATGAAACAAGATTTGAGAATCTATGTCCGCGCTGACAAGTGGGCGTGGCCGTCGGGGGGGCTCGCAGTGATGTCTGGCGTGATCTGGTTGATGAGTTGCCCGCCCTAATAAGTGTGGTTAATTTGATTTGAAAAGTGAGTGAATTTGGTTTGAAAAGGGGTGAATTTGCTTCTGAAATGGTGAATGTAACTTGAAAATTGTATAAATTACTACTAACTAGCTTATGCTTGGATAAGCATTTGAAAAAAAAAGCTGTTTTGAATACATCTTGTACGTGGCTACTACTATTCTGAATGTAGTCTGCTCTCGCAAACATTGGCCATATCTTACCAAGAACAAATATGTGAATTTCTTCTCCCACTGCTCTTCTGATAGTGTTTCCGCATAGTTCTTGGATGGACAACCGATTACAGAACGTTACAAACCTGTGTTAGAGAACGCCAGTCAAAATTTGCAAGCTAATGTAGAAGTGTTTGCCGTCGGCGGCCCAGCATTTCGAGGGGAGAATGTCTTCTGGGTACCTGAAAGTGACAAAGTAAACTTCAGAAACCTTCGAGATTTCCTTGCCCACCACGTACCACTGCGTGAAATCGAGTGAAGGGACTTCGAGGTTTGTTTCCATTCGAAGTTGTAGCCAAGTTCTCTGTTTCAGTATATCCTGATGAAATTCTCCTCTTTTCACTCTACTGAGGCACACCTGCACAGAGATCCCCTTTCAGTTAATCGTACAATGTGAAAAGCAGAATCACGATTTGATTGCCCTTCTACTGTGCTCCGAAAAAGGTGCCCAAATGCGTGCCAGTTGATCCGAAGGACTACAAATCTTACGCAGTACGTGCACTTCATTTCCTAAAGATGGGGAGATCTAGCTTCGTATTTCCTTTGACCTTGGCGGCAGCCACGTTTTTAATGGAATACACCTTTGAAAGAGCCGTAATCACGTCTTTGTCCAGCGAAACAGCAGATTACTCTCGGATGGGAATGTTTGAGGAGAAACGCATCCCACGCGTCGTTCAAAAGAGATGCGCAGCCACGCCCTCTCCTTCCGCGGGAACCTGTTCATGTGGTACCATTCATCAAATCACGAGATTACTCCTCACTTATTCAGCTAAGTATGACAATCGAGTAGACTTAACACCTCTCGCGCGGTTCACCCTCATGGGACAATATCTTTGCTCGACCTGGGCTCTCTCGACATGGTTCTATGCCTATTAAATTGTAGGATAACAATAAGGTATTGGAACAGCAGTCTATAGTGTCCCCTTCTGTAAACAACCAGAAAGAGAAAAAATTCCAGAAAAAGCAATGGTGGCTCCGTCTCTGACCTCAGACAAACCACTGCTCTTCCGTCAACCCCATGACTAGTTAACGAGGATGAGTTTATTACCTCTACGTAAGGCATACATGATATAAAACCTACGTATATGAGCAATATTGACATCTATGAGTATGTAAGACCGGAATTGATTTCCAATAACAGTAAGTAAATAGCAAATCAACTACTTATCCACCATATATGTTATATGTTATGTACATATACGTTATGGACACTTTTCAAACCAAATCGGACACTTTTCAAACCAAATCGGACACTTTTCAAACCAAATCGGACACTTTTCAAATCAAATCGGACACACCCCTTACAATAGAATGAAAATAAGGGAAAGACCAGAAAAAAAAGGAAACTTTGTTCCGGGTGACGGCCATAGCCTGCTAGTACGGTCACTAGCTCGCCGATCTGCAACATTTTTGAAAAGTGGGCGGGGCTTCTACAAAGTGGGCGGAGCTTCCATTAGTGGGCGGGGCCGCTTGTCACAGCCTAAAAAAGTGAAAATTCGGAAGAAAAATCAAAATTCCGCGAAAAACGAAAGTGGGCGTGGTCAGAGGGCAGCCTAGTGTGCTATGTGTAAATGCATAGCTATATTCGTTTAGTTAAGATTGAATGTGAAAAAACGACGTCGATAATATTTATAAAAATTAAGGAACTCACGTCACTCGACTGTGAAGTGGGGAGCCATATATGTGTCGGTTGCAAACATATTAAGTTGAACGTGTGTCTGGTAGCAAAAGTGAAAAAATTCGAAGAAGCAGAATTCATAAAACATTTGGAAAACCACGGCCGCGCTAAGAAGTGGGCGGGGGTAATGCGGGGGGGGGGCTGTCCGATTTGGTTTGAAACAGGATAAAAATACAAAAAGCATGAAGTGATAAAAGAAGTGACTAGCGAATACAGGATTAGGGTTGCCTACCTCCATTCTGATATGTCTGAGCGATTCTGACCTTGATACCTCGTTGTGCGGTCTTCAAAATATAATAGTACCAGTCGGATCGCCCGGCTAACGCCGAGCTCTCCTCCTTCTTGGAAGCCCGGCTTCGCCGGGCTCATGCAACTGCTTTAGAGCCTCACTTCTTAACTCGTGAAAGAAAGGAGCAAAGTAAGGCATAAGCAGGGCGATACTACTGTCTTAGGCATTTATGATGCTCTCATGGTGACTAACCGGTGTCTTCTAATCAAATAAATGTAGGAACGCGCCATATAGTCGCAGGGCACTTTTATAATGAAAAGTTTGAAATCTGGTCATGGATAATCGATTACTGTCCTCCCCATCTTATGACAGCCACGGATTCTTCGGTCTCCGCAGTCGCTGCGTGCTCCTGTTCAGGCGAGCGTCGGTCGCGCCAATATGGTACCCCTTCACCTCACCTATCCCCAAACTAACCTCAGCTATTCCCCGCTCAGCCACCCTACAGGTCACGCTCAGCTGCTACGCGAATAGCCCGTGCAATGGTTCTGAGTGCACTAAATGGTTGTGTTATGTTGTGGAGGGTGTTATGACTATCAAAACGCTACCACAATTTGATAATGCAACATTAATCGGTTCAGTTCCGATTGCGGTCGATCCATTTTCTTCCCATCTTGTCGCAACCGTAGACGCCTTACCGCCGCAGGGGCTATGTGCTCCTAATCGCGAAATCGCCGTTCTCATCTGGTATCCCCTCACCACATCATATCCCACTGACCCTATTTAACCGGCACCCACCCCCGCACGTGGTATGCAGCCGCCATGCAACATAGGGACACTACGCCGCCACTGTTCTTACCACCGCCTTGCTCGTGCTCACGTCCAGCTCCCAAGCGAGCAGCTCCTGCAGTAGCACAGAGTATATCACAGTGGTTGGCTTAGATAGGGGAGCGATTCACAATCCAAACAACTTCTTAGTTCGTTGCTGTAACATGGATTAGCTTGCAGTTTTGCTAGCGGTTCTTTCCTTCTCTCTTGCCGCCTGCTCCTATTCAAGCGTACGCTACGCATCCCCTTACTGTACCCAGTTTGCCCGATTCAATCCATATGCCTCCTTCCCCTGCATGGGCTCAGATGACTGAGTACGCGCAAGGGAGTGAGGATGGGAGAAGGGGGTCACTCGATACTAACTCCCACCTTCCTCACCTCACCCCATTCCGTACTCGCCACTCCACCCCCCCCCACCTTGCCCCTTGCACGCGCTTACGTCCAACTGCCACGCGAGCAACCCGTGCAATGGCTCGGAGTGTAGTGGTTTTCTTATATAGTGGAGAGTGTTATCACAACCAAAACAACTTCTTAGTTCGTTACGGTAACATAGATTGGCTTGCAGTTTTGTTAGCGGTTGTTTCCTCATCCCTTGGTGCGCGTTTCTACTGAAACGCGCGCTACCCCCTCACTGTACCCCCCCCCTCCCGCGACCCTCCCTCAGCTCCGGCTGAGCACGTGCAGGAGAGGGAGGCAGGGCGACCCGGTACCCCCACCCTGCCCCCGCACGAGCACACGTCCAGCTGCCACGCCAGCAGCTCGTGCAATGGCTCGGAGTGTACCGAATGGTTGTCTTATATAGCGGAGGCTGTTATCACAATCAAATCATTGGACTGCTACATCCTCCCAGTCGGTTACCGGTTTGCCTAGCGGTCGTTTTCGCCTCCAGCGAACTCGAACCCGTGAAGTATTTTGCGGACGGACAGACAAACATACATACATACATACATACAAACATACAAACCGACACACAAAGTTACTGGTTTATAGAATAGAAGGATTGTAGATCAGTTCACCCTAGAGTGCTGGAATGATCGTATGGCTGTGAAAAGTAAAACTGTAAACTAATTTTCGATGTTACCAGAGCGGAGGGGCAAATTCTTGAGTTCTGAAATTGGGATGGACTGCGAACTCGAGGACCATGAGTGAATCTATTTGCTTTTGACCGACGCTAAAGGGACTTGGTTGATTTGAGCGAAATTGGATCTATAGGATGTGCAGATGTGGTTACGGGCTTATCAAACAAGAACAGGTGCATAATTATAAAATGATGTTCTCGATAGCTAAGTGGTGTTAGAGGCAAAGAATCGGATCACATTTCTCACTGGTCTTTATTTCCTCCGCCAAAGGCCCCTTCAACAATTTCTCATCTCCGAGCGCTAATCCCCGCAATCGGAGAGTCTTATCGCATTTCGCCATTTTATTCAGCCAAGGTTACTTCCACTCACCACCAGCTTCACTCACACTCTCCTTTAGCATACTTCCCAACAGTCCTTGCTGCTGGGTGTTATAAAATCTTTTTCATGGAATTTGCCCGAAAATGTTTCCGTGCCGTCATGATGCATTTACTATTTTAGACTGTTCTTATAACATCCTTCAGTAATCTACTGTTTTTTTTCATTCATGAGCCTGCCAAATCGCATAGTATGCTATCTCCATCTCTGTGAAGTGCACTTGTCGCACTGATTCTTGTACACAGGTCAGCACTGAAACATATAGAGAGCATCGTAGTGAATTCCGATGTGCTACCTTTTCGGTCATGGCTCACTCATTGAGTAATCATGTCACGGTCTAGGGCAACTTTGTCAGTTACTGCATCTATTCGCCTATCATGACAGTTCCGAATTTCACAGGTCCCGATCTTCGCGATAGATTAGCCAGCAATGCATTAGGTTCCAGCGGATTCATTATTTTGTCAGGAATGTCTAGTTGGCTCATCAACCGTTCCCCAAACAGAGCACGCCTCTGCATTTTTAGCGATTTTAGGATTGTCTTCACCTTCGGTAATGATATTCTGGATTGTTACGTAAACCTCGTTGCTGGAGTTCGCTTGGATCAGGGTGGCTGACTTGCTATAAAAAGACGTGTCCCTTTTCAGTAGCAGTCAGTGTGATTCACATGGATGCGCACTTCAACGTGTGCAGCTTGCGAGCATGCTAAACATTCTTGGCTAGCAATATTTTCCGCTGCCTTCGTTGTCGGGAAGCTAGGCGTCATTGAGACTTCGGTAACCACTGTAAATATGTTCCACCGCAAAAAGAAAAACTGAATACCGAATTGTGAAGGACTCTTCCAGAATCCTTCAAACCAATTGTTGTTGTATCCTTTAGCCCGCAACTCCCTTCGTCCCTTCCACTTCCAGTCTAATCAGTTTCTGCATACGATACCTTCAAATCTACCTCTTCTATGACTCATTATCCTTCAGTTTCTCATGAAAATCCATTGACTTACATCTGCTGAAGCACTCGTAGTATCAACAATGTAATTATTCCCAGTATCCTGTACTAACAGCGACCAGTAGTCGCTCCCAATGAGGATTTCTCTTTTTGCCTCATCTGAAAAGGATTTCATTAGCGTGAGTTGGAACCGTAAAAGATATCTGGCAGGAACATTATTTTTCCATTTCCCAGCCATGTATCCATAAGGCATTCTATCTTGGGAATATAAGAAAGTGACATTTCTAAGCATGGATGAAGCTTTGGGCTATTAATGAAATTTACAGTTGACGGGGAATTTTTCCGTTGAGGAACATTTCAGTGCTAACTCTATACCCTGCCTTAACACACGTAGTTTTACATAGATAAATGCCCTGGATTTCCACCTAGTGTGAGCAGTGAATGAAACATATCAGACTACATTGACAGCGTAACACTCCTCCGCACCGTTCAAATCAGCACACTTTTGCCAATGTGACACCTGTCGAGAAATCCCATCAAAGAAAAAAACTGGGTGGTCGAGAATCTACGAAATCCACGAAGGCTTTTTTGCCTGGTCCTAATTGATGAAGTATTTTCCAGCAAGGAAGTTCTGAAAATGTTTGAAAAGGTGATAGTCGGTTGGTGAAAGGTCTGGAGAATGGCGGGTGAGGTAGAACTTCAACCCCCAATTCGTTCAATTTATGGATAGTGATTTGTGAAACGTGTGGGCGGGCGTTGTCATGCAAAAGAATCGGACCCTTTCTGTTGACAAGTGCTGGCTGCAGCTGACGCAATTTTCGGTACATTTCGTCGATTTCTTCACAGTAGGACTCTGCTACTGTGAAGAAATCGACGAAATGACGATGATGGTTTGGCCTGGTAACAAAAAGTTATAGTGGATCACACCAGCCGATGACTACCACACTGTGACCATAACCTTTTTGTCGTGAGGATTCGGCTTTGGAAATTGCCTCAGGGGTCCGCCGGCATCCAACCACTGTCCGAAACGTCTCCTGTTATCATACATGATCTCCTTTTCATCACACGTGACAATTCGGTCCAAAAGCGGGTCGTTTCTGTTGCGCAAAAGCAGTGAAGAAGAAACCTCGAGACGTGCCAATTTCTGCCGGTCACTCAAATTGTGGGGCACCCACTTGTCGAGTTTTTTCACCTTCCCAATGCGTTTCAGACCATCCGCAACAGTGGATTTGCCAACGCCTAGCTTTTCTGCAATCTCTCGAACTGTTTGGGATGGGTCAGCCTCGACCGCTACGAGGTTCATCTTCAAGGCTGAAATCTCCAGAACGAAATTTGTCGAACCATTGTCGCACGGTGCTTTCTCCAACACTATTGGGCCCCCACACCTGGTTAATTTGTCGAGCTCGACTGCGGATTGACCCAATTTGTAGTTGAAGAAAAATATCGTCCGAAGTTGCTCTTTTGACATGCTTGAAAAACTCTTGAAAAAGGGGGTCAATCAAGCAATGGTGAAACGGCAATTATACCATCAGATAGCGCAAAGAATTCTCTTCAGGATGTACTACTGAGACGCAAGGGAGAATGAGTTTTTAATCAGCAATGAATGTACAAAAAATAAACACAAAACGCTGAGAACTTTCCGGACAACCTAATACGCGCCGGCCTAAGTGGCTAGTTTCTTTGTAAATGCTGTGAATGAGCGACATGAAGTTCATTTTGTCCCTTGAGCATAAAGAGCACACAGGGCAATTTCAGCGCATTGCAAGACTAAAAGAGGCGTTATTGTCA